TTTGGACTGAACATGTACAGAAGAAACATACACAACAATCCACATGACAACACCCACACACGCAAACAACACTCACACATTAACAAAATTCATACTCACAAATTGTACAATATCTTTGTAATAAAATACCTAGTAATTTAAATTTTTATTTCTTATATATTTTTTTTCTCAAAAATATCACATCACTTATTTCTATTATATGTTTAGTTATTTAATATTTGATTAATTAGTAGTTTAATATAATTTTTATTTTAAACATTATTCATGCACGATTGTATATACATGTTGATAAAAAATTTTCAATTTACATATTTTGAGAAAACTTTGTTGATATTTTTAAGAAAATAATGAAAAAATATAAATTTTAAATGATGTAATGAAAGAAATGAATGAAATTTTTTTTTATTTAATTAATATAATGGAATTGATTTTTCAGAAGTTCGAATTTTTTGTATCATTATATTTTCAAGCACGAGTTATAACTTATATATATATATATATATATATATATATATATATATATATATATATACATACATACACACAGAGATCTGTACATATATAGATCTGCTGCAAAGAGCGAGAGAGGAGATGACTTGTGTGTGTGTGTGAGAGAGAGAGAGGGAAGGCGATAGGTTTTCGTCGTCAACCATTGGCCTTTGTTAGTTATCATACATATGTTTGTCGTTGATGTTTGGAGGAGAAGGAGAAAGCAACAAAGTTCGTCGATTTGGGGAGGAGGAAAAATGGGGGTTTTAGGCTTTATATAGTAAGGCCATACTTTGTAGCCAATGTGATTCAATGGTAAGATCTCATTAATTGAGGGTTTGTTGTTTGTGTTTTCACATTTCGTGAAAATTTGTTTCCATTTCAGTCAAAACACCCTTCGTTTATTCTCTAAAACATAATATCAATTTTTATTTTTTTTCTTAAAATTAGAGATTGAAAAAATTCAATCAAACAAGTTCTCTTTATTTTTAGAGTTTTGAAAACAAAAAACTATTTTTGTAAATACAAATCAAACAGACCTTTCATTTTTTGTTCCCAAACTTTTCATCCATTGATTTTTTTTTTGTTGATCAAAAAAGGAGTAGGGCAAAAGAGAGAGCCCAAAGACCACCCTCGATAGATCCTCATTAGTAGGACAGTGAGGCCCTTGATTGCACTCGTTACTCCTCTCAAGAATGAACTTAATTAGGTTAATATAACAGTCAACCATTGAATCTCAATGTGGACTCTGAATCTCAAATCTCAAATTTTAAAGTGAGAAATTCGACCAATATTTTACTAAACTACCCACTCTGTAATATCCATCGATTAACACCTCACTTGAAAAAAAAAAATCCTCATCATTTGTGGAACTTTTAGCCATATTCTCAATGGTGTTATCTTCTTCAAATTTAAATTTTCACTAATTTACTCTAATGGTGTATTTGGTAAATCCTACTACTTTAATTACCCATATTAATTTAAAATATAAAATTTTATAAATAATTTAATAAACAAAACATTGTTGATCTTATAATACCACTCTGGAATCTTTTGGCCGACTTCTAGAAGGTTGCCAACGCAGATATGTCCAAACTAATAAAAACAGGTCACAGTGTTCATACGGCGTCGTAGTGAATAGTAGGCCAATTTCCCCAGCCGAATTATCTACGTGTCGGCCGGAGCATTAAATTTCGAGGATATAATTACAATAGTAACCTTTTGTTTTTCGTAACTTCTACACGACTAATGTGAATTACCCTAACTACCTATTGTCTATTTACTAAAAGAACCTTATAATTTAAATTGACAAACAAAAATGGAAGCTTTTAAACTGTATGTAACTTACATAACAAGATAGATTACAGTAAGAAAGAGTAAATTATACTTACATCCTTTTGGTTATGGTGGTTCCGATAATGATGGTTCAGAAAATGATGTAAAAATAAAAAAATAAAAAAAAATAAAAAATATATATATATATATATATATTCACACATATATTTGATTAGCATTAAACACTTGCAAAAAAGTTATAAAAAATTTAAATTCTACTGTTTGAAAGAAAGAAAAGTAAAAAAAAAAAAAATTCAATTGTCTAAAATACTTTTAATTATATTAATTCAGTCTAAATAAAAAAATATATATATATATATTTATTTATTTATAATTAAAATTTAATTTTTTTTAAAAAAAATGGCTACTAACTTAATTCTATAACAAAGATCAACACGAACTTAGATCTCTGGGTTAAATCATATAGTTAAACTTACTCATATCAAGCTTTTTTCAAGATTAATAATCAATTGAATATTTTTAAGGAAAATAAGGATAAAATAGAAAAATAGACTATATATAAAAAAATTTTACGTTTCCTTGTGGTTTTCGCAAGAAATAAAAAAGTTGGTTAGTTGTGAGAAAATTGAAGAATAATAAAAAATTATTTTTTTCATCATTTTTTATTTCAGGCTAATCAAACATATGAATTTTTTTTTTAATTTCTTTTTGTTACATTTTCTGTCATAAATTGTTAATTTTACATCCCACTTGAGTCTGGCCAACCACCCCAAACCCACATTACACATATTTCTCAAATGGGATGAAAAATGATGTACAGAGAGGGTCCATTTTGAGTATGAATAAGTCGAGTCATTTCAGGTTTTTGTCTAGTTATTTTAAATTTGTATCGGACATTAATTAACTCTAACTCAATTCATATGTAGGTTTTTTTTAAAAAAAATTCCAACAGGTTCATGTTGTATAATGACCATTTTTTTTTAATAAAATTACAAAATCACTCCTATTGTGTTTATAACTTATCCGGACGCAATCGAAACGTGTTCATAGGCATTTAGGGTGGGCACAATCATATATATTTGAAGGATATTTACTAAATTACAAAAATGATTATTATGTGAAAAACTGATCCAGAGCAACCAAAATGTTTTATAATGTGTTCATAGACATTTAGGTACAGGCCTATACGAAAATCATAAAGGTCCCTTGCGCTAATGTAGGTTTACCCTTGAATAAAAGAAAAAGAATAGACGTTATTTTCTTAATAATACTGGAAAATATATAAAAGACAATGAAATTCTAGAAGATAACAGACAATACATAAACTACCAAAAGTGACAGAAAATGACTTTCACCATCAAACCATCCTTTGGACAATAAGTCACATCAAATATTCTTCGAATATTCTGCAAATATTTCCTTAATTTTTTGTTATAAAAGACAATGATCACTATATAAAAAAGAGTTTAAAGTAAGAAAAAAACTCTATTTACTCTTCTTCTTCAAAAAAATAATATACAATCAAGGAGTAAGAGTCAACATTACAATAGATTAGTAAAATTTTTCAGCTAGTAAACCACTTATTTTCTTGTATATTCTCATTCATTTTTACATACACAAGACATACCCACTAAGAGCTCATCTAGCTCTCCACCTCATGCCTCTTGATTTTTTAACACCATAACTTTGTGTTATTTCGAGTTCGTGTCGAGAATTAAGTAAATCTTAACCCACTAATTTTTTATCTTATTAACACATTTATGTCAAAGTTTACCACCCCTATGAAAGATAGTCAAAACTTCATTTTCAATTTTGTTGTTGATAAGAACCTTTGTATTTGATTTTGCTGTATGATTGAAAATGAAATTTGGAGCCCAACTTTATCAATAAAATTTCCTTTTTAATTGATTTATATATGAATTACGGGACAATTAACTTTTCTTATAAACTATTGACTTACTATATTAGTGATACCGTTCCAACGCGGACACCATATGATCAAATCCATTGTATTCGAAGTAAAAATTACAAGTAATTAATTTGAGGACTTCATCATGTCCTTGTCTAAGTAATGTATGTTCTTTTTTGTTTTTGATTCAATAGAGTGATATTCGGACTAATTTATGCGCACATTAACTTCCCTTTTTCGGTCTGGTTGAAGATCAAACCATCTACAACGGAACTAAAGTATTCATGAAGAATAAATCCCTCATAGTCTGGTTCCAAAAAATTATCACGATTTGAACTTAATTAAAATATTTTGGTTTACAACTCGTTCATGCTCTCACTTGAACTAGTTCTTATGATTGCACTTGTAGTGTATGTTCATTTCCTCTATATTACACTAACTCTTTTCTACACTAAAATGTCAATTTGGGTGGGTTGGATTAATTGAGAGATCAATTAGAATTCAATTAAGTTAACAATTTTGGAATTCAATTTTAAAATGATTTGAATTCAACCTGGTCCTTATCTAAGTATTATCAACATTTAAAACTTTGAGCTTGGATTGAAGTGAGGTTATAGAACACGCATTGAATTTTGAGTAAAATCAATTTTAATTTTTGGGTTACACAACCTTGTTTTGAATTTAGGTTAAGTTCGAGATTAACTCGAGTTGAGCATAAATTTAATTCATGAGTTATATAATTTGGGTTTAAATTCGTATTGAATTACGGTAATCCGAATTTGCTAATTTAAGTTGGGTCCCAAAAAGCCTAGAGTCAATTTCAAGAAGTGGCTCAAGTAATAACATAAACGAATTGTAAATTTAAACGTTCTGAATTTAAATATTCACAATTTTTTAGGATCAGATCCTAAAAGATTTATCTTTCATGAATATTCTAATTTCGGTGTGGATGATCTGCCTTTAATTAAACCAAATAAAGAATTAGTTGAGATACATATAAATTAATCCGAACATCCTGATAAAAAAAAAAAAGTTGACCTAATTAGTTTAGAATTTTTGTCCAATCCCAACCAAAATATGAAAAATATCTGCTTGATGGGTCCCTTCTCAAGGGTGGCCATGGATGCTTGCTTTTATTTTTCTTGATTTGTTTTGTTTGTTTAGGGTTTGGTAATTGAGGTTTTCTTTCACAAATAGACAAAAGGGCATTTTGGGTAAATTACCCTAAATCACATGACTTAAAACAAAAGAGAGCATTTCTAACTATACCTTTGACTTTGGATTTTGTTTTGGATATTTTAGGAAAAACAACAAAAAACAAGTTTTTCTCTATAGAGAGAGAGAGCGACAGAAAGAGAGACGGGGTAGGATGGAGGGAAGTCTCTACGAAATGGCTCTGAGCACCTCTCTATTGTCCACGGCGAGTCGGTCCACACGCTAAATTCGTCTTCTCATCCTCTTCTCCAACCCAAACCCTCCTTTTTCTTTCCTTAAAACACCTCTCCATCTTTCCAACCATTCGTATTGTCGAGGTTTCTCTCTCCTTCTACGTGAAAAGTTGCTCTGAGTTCGAGATCTGAGATTTCGTGGTGGGTGTTTAAACTCTTCAATTGTTGAAGACAACCAAGGTATTGTTTTCTTAATTTGTCTGTAGTTTCATCGAAACGATCAGATTTTGGTTGTCCTCCACATCTATATTTTGATCAAATTCTGAGACCCAATTGGCTAAAAGATCCAAAGAGCCAGAGGATTGGAGATCTGATTGGAAAAAAAATTTTGAAGCTTTGTTCTATTGATTTCTCTGTCTTGTTGCTCTGAAGGCTCAGATATTGGTTGATCTCTGTCCATATTGAGCTCAAATCTGGAGACCCATTTGGCTGAAAGTTTGGAGAAGGTTGATTTTTGAAGCTTTGATTCATGGGAAATTGTTGTGCAGTACCATCTACTAAGTCTGAGAAGAAGAAGGGGAAGAATAAGGCAAACCCTTTCTCTATTGACTATGGTGCAAACCATAAAACTGGGAATGGGGGATACAAGTCTCATGTATTGGATAACCCAACAGGTCATGAAATTGAGCAGAGATATGAACTGGGTCATGAGCTTGGTCGCGGTGAATTCGGGGTGACTTATTTGTGTACTGATAAATCTTCAGGGGAAGTGTTCGCTTGTAAGTCCATATCCAAGAAGAAACTAAGGACTAGGGTGGATATTGAGGATGTGAGGAGAGAAGTTGAAATCATGAAGCATTTGCCTAAGCATCCCAATATTGTGAGCTTGAAGGACACTTATGAGGATGACCATGCTGTCCACTTGGTGATGGAGTTGTGTGAGGGTGGTGAACTGTTTGATCGGATTGTTTCAAGGGGGCATTACACTGAAAGAGCGGCTGCGGGTGTGACGCGTACAATTGTCCAAGTTATTCAGGTGAAGATTTGTCTTTCTTGGTTATTGATGTTATATTCATCCTTTAATATACTTTTTTCTTCCTAGCATGTTCATTTCTAATTTAATGGTTGTGAAGAACAATTTTATTTTTTGTCGAGTAATACTGGTTAGTTTAATCTCATTATAAATCTGATGTCTAGTAGAGGACTAGTATTTTATTTAATGTGATTGATCTAATGAAGATTATGTGTATATGAAAACATAACTATGCGCAAAAGAATAACCTTACAGTGGTTGTAACACAAGAACCATGGAGTTGGAGTACCAAAACTCAACTTCAATGAAAATGAAATTAATATATTTCTGATGTTATCTTTTACTAATTCGCTTTAACTAGTAGGTGGTATCTTATATTGGACGATGGTAATTTTTATCCTTGTGTATTCAAATGTTGGTCTCCTCTTTTTTGTAAATCTACCTTTAGAATATGTGGAACCCATTATCAGATTCTTTATTGCTATATCTCCTTTAGAGATGCCAGTGTCATGTGCCATCTTCTTGACATATATAACCTCGTTGACTTTGGTCTAGATAACTGGATATTCTGGTCAGATTTGAGGTCTTTTCGTTGGTCAATAGTTTCATTAAGATGAGTTCTTTATTCAATGAAACCATTTTTTTTTCTTGTGTAATTTTCTTCTCTGTTCAAGCATAGGAAATCAGACTTCCCCTCTGTTTTGTTTTTGGATTATCTCTGGAGATTAGTACACTATTGTACTTCAGATTTTTTACCACATCAAACATTGTATTAAGAATTTAAGATGTTGTTTTCCATCACCTTCCGCATTTCCTTTAGAGATATAAGGGGTATAAATTGTGTCTCTATTGTTGTGTTGCAGATGTGCCATAAGCATGGAGTTATGCATCGGGATCTCAAACCTGAGAACTTTTTGTTTGCAAACAAGAAGGAGACAGCAGCTTTAAAGGCAATTGATTTTGGACTGTCAGTGTTCTTTAAACCTGGTGATGCCTCTAATAAAGCCATTGCATTTCAATTTTTCTTATTGTATATCACCAGTTAGTGATCATTTTATTCACACAAACTTCGATTCCATCAATTCTTACAGGGGAGAGATTTAATGAGATTGTTGGAAGTCCCTACTACATGGCCCCTGAGGTGCTCAAACGAAACTATGGTCCAGAAGTTGATGTCTGGAGTGCTGGAGTAATCCTCTACATATTACTTTGTGGTGTTCCACCTTTTTGGGCAGGTCAGACTTCATTATCGATGAAAACTGAACTGTTTATCAATTCAGTAGAGGGTTTAAGAGTAGATTTTATCAGGGAAGTGTGTGACTGTGTGCACATATTCATGAGACAATCACTGAAAAGCCCTTTATCATGGAGCAATTGGTTAAGTTCATTATGCCTATTTTTTCGTTATTGTTCTTCTCCAACAATAGAAATTTATTGATGACTGGAATATGTTTCAGGATTTTGAGTTCCATCTGGATAGCTAGGATAGGGAGGAATAAAGAAAAAGTAGTAGATTAAATTTAAACATTTGCTTACAGAATCTATAATGTTTTGGATCAGTACCTGTACAAATTATTCCTACTCATCCTCAATTTTGTCAAATCATTCTCAAAATTATCTTGTTTTTGAAATGTGCAGAAACTGAACAAGGAGTTGCACAATCAATCATCCGTTCTGTTGTAGACCTTAAGAGAGACCCATGGCCGATGGTTTCTGACAATGCAAAAGACCTTGTGAAGAAGATGCTCAACCCTGACCCAAAGCAGCGCCTTACTGCTCAGGAAGTGCTAGGTATTTTCCAGTTTTGTATATATTGGTTTGTGTTCATGTAGTTTGGTTGCTCAGCAAAACTGGATATTTAAAATTATAAAACAAGATTTTTGTTTACTCATTATTGCAGACCACCCTTGGTTACAAAATGCAAAAAAGGCTCCAAATGTTTCTTTAGGCGAAACTGTTCGAGCAAGGCTGAAGCAATTTTCTATGATGAATAAGCTCAAGAAAAGAGCTCTGCAGGTAACATTTTAAACCTCTATCAGACTAGTTAAATACCTCATCTTTGTTTACTTTCCTGTTCCAGAAATTTTGTAGGGCTGATTGACTTTGGTAGAATTTTGTGATATGTGGTTCTTTTGACATGTTTGGTCACTAAAATTGTATTTCTAACACAGGTAGTTGCTGAGTTTCTGTCAGTAGAGGAAGTGGCTGGAATAAAAGAGGGATTCAAATTAATGGATATCAACAACAAAGGAAAGATCAACATCGATGAGTTGCGAGCTGGGCTACAAAAGCTTGGACAACAGATCCCTGATGCTGATCTTCAAATTCTTATGGATGCTGTAAGTACCATCTCTATTCAAAATCTTGATCTTCTCTTAAAAACAGGAAAGGCAATGAGCTGCATTAGCTTAGATTCCATGTCCTAGCCACGAAATAACTAGTAGGGAACCTTTTCTCCCCCCAAAGAGATAGTATAGAAATACGAGAAGCCTTTTTCTTTTTTTTTTTTTTGGGGGGGGGGGGGG